CTTTAACAATTATCTGCGATTATTATTATTGCGTTTCGAACGATAAATTTAGAATAGATCCAAGAATAATTTTACCCGTGAGTTCGATTATTTAAATTTGGCGCGAAAAGCTCGAATTGAACATTTATCATAGTCATAGTCATTATAATTAATATTATTATATTTCGAACGAATAGATCGTCGAAGTATAATTTTTTAACTCGAGTTAGTTCGATTAAAATTTGAATTTCGCGCGGGAAAGAATGGCGTCGACAGAAGCGAGGAAGAGAGGGGAGATGCGCTTTACGGGAAAGTTCGTTTGTCCGCGCATGTCGCGCCAGTTAGAGTTAATAGTTGGCCCGAGTATGTTGCCGAGGAAGCGTGTGTTGGGGAGAAGGGGGGATGCGTCCGCCTTTCTTAGACGAAAAGTTTGGCGTTTCTCCGCGCATGTCGGGCGGAAGAGTTGATAGGGAACTGTGAATTTGTAAGTAAATAAGTCTCTGTTGTGAAGTGAAATAGATTGTTGCCTTTTTTTTCTTTTTCTTTTTTTTCTTTTTGAAAAGTTATGCACGAGACGTAGATAAAGTTAATAATAGAGACGCGTGGTACAGTTATGCGAACGAGATATAATTATTAGTTAGTCTCGGATGTGTGAATACGCGATATGTATATGCATACGAGGAAGATGGTGAGAGAAACAGAGAGAAAGAAGGGGAGATAAGTTTTGATGTTTCTCAGATGAAAAGTTGATTTGTTATTTTTGTACAGTTGATTAGTCTGAAATGTGCGAATAAGATGAAAAACAGAAGGAAAGAAGAGATGCTCTGAGATATGTTTGTGAAAAATATATTGGAATGGAGATTTGTTTGATCAGCGCAGTTTAACAATTTACACAAAGAGTTAATAATTTTAGTGTCAAATGTGTGGATGAAACAAGATGATCTAAGATAGGTTTCAACGTTTCTAAGATGGAAAATTTGATGATCCTTATGGTTAATAATTAGTCTCAAACACGTGAGTGTATAAGTGAGCCTCTATGTGTACAAGATGAGAAAAAAATAGAGAGAGAAAGAAGTATGAATGGAGAAGAGATGGTCTTTGATACTAGTCTTTATTTTTATGAACGAGTTATTGACCTCGAATTTGAGATATAAATTTATTTTAGTAAGATTCTATGATATTATCTTTTAAAAAATTTTTCTTTCTTTTTGAAGAAGTCGCGTCAATTGTAATTGTAATTTTTTTTAAAAAAAAAATTCGACTCTTAGAAAGTTCGTTCATCCCGCTTCCAGCGATTTTCACCACATGGTCACGATCTTGAAACGTGAAAACGGACCTACAGACTGGTTAGAAAGTTCCCTCGAACGAACGTACGTTTTTACTTCACCAGAATATTATTAATATTCCTTCGAAACAAACTTGTATATACACGTATATATATATTCGTATCCTCATTTCCTGATTCACGATATAATAACTTTCCAAGCTTAAACAACATTTCATTTTCACAATTCACATGCTTCACTTCCTTCGATCCAAACGCCGCGTTCGAACATTTTCTTTTTCAATCCTATTCAAAATGCACTCTCCATGACAAAGCATAATTCTATAATTCGTTTCATGAGATTAAAAAAAAAAAACAATTGAAACAAATTTGATACACAGCTCGAACTCACATTGACAACGAAAAACACGGATGAAGAATGGGGAAGACGAAGAAGGGCGCGATTTCGCAACCTTCCCCCCCTCCCTCCTCTCTTTTTTTTTGTTTTCCATTTCGACGCAACAAAAAAGTCGGAAATTAGCGAAATATCTACCTCGACGGTTGACACGGAGATGAAATTTTCACCTGTGCGCTGCAGTTGAACATTGGAAGAGGAGGAAGAGAGAGAGAGAGGGAGGGAGAGGATGTTTCGCGCGATTGCATAAAAATACAACAACCGCGGACGAAAATGGCGCACGAGTTCACAAAAGCCTGGGGATCAGGATCGTGGAAAACTTGTGTTCCGGCGAGCTGGAACGAGTGATTTATAGTTTTACGATCATGAGACTTTTTAGAGGTGGCGATAACCGTTCCGGTTGCGAGCTGTAAAAATTTTTCGACGGCGGCCGCCATCGAAACGAAGCATCGAAACGGCGGAATTTTTTTCTCATTTTCTTTCCTTGAAAAATTCATGGAAATCGCATACTTTGCAATCGATACGATATTCTCCGCTATTACTCGCGTTAGAAATAGCTTTGAAATTGTGGTATTTAGTTTCGGTACGTTTATGATCAAGGGGTTGATCCCAAATGTGTTTTCGTGTGAATGGAATGACAGGTATATATTTTTCTATTTCTCAAATTGTTCGTGAAGAAGAAAAATATCATTTGAAATTATTCCGTCGTATTTGATTTTATTCGATTATCAGAATTTGAAAACGGTTCGGTTACAGTTCGATAAATTGGAGTTGGAAACATTGGAAGAAACTGAATGACTTTGAAAAATTGAAAATTGTTGTGAGATAAAAAAAAATTGTTTTATCGCACATCGAATAAAAAAGGGCAAACGCATTTGCCAAATTTAACGCAATTAGCGTTCCAGGTAATGGAATTACTTATATTTATAGCGATTCAGGTTTGCTACAATTCCGCTTTAAATAATACTATTTTAAACCTTAATTTCGTTAATGCGCCCAATTAGTGTCCCTTCCCTTGGAATAATTATCGTCACAAGTTTTTATGTCCTCGCCCTATCCGCTCCATTTAGCAAACTGATGTCTGCCTCCAACTAATTCAAAGTTTGAAGTTGCTGCTCGCGTTCCGTCGGTAGATGTAACTTACAGTAACTCGCGATAGTTTTGGTTTCGTGGGAATTTTATAGGCGAAGCTTAACTGACAACTTTATTTTATCCCGTTTCGAAGGTTCACGAGAATTTCTCTTCAACGAACATTCCGTAAATTTGTATTTGGTTGCCTCGGTTGATAAGGAAGATATCGTGATTAACCCGCGCAAACAGAGAAAAATCCTGAATATTATTTCGTCTATAATTTCTTTCTCTTTCTTTCCTCTTTATATCATATATTGTCTATACAAATCGTACAAATTATTTCAATATTAAAAAGTTTTAAATAAATTTCGGATTCGTAGAAATTTCTTTTATTCGTAACATTGATATCTCGCGTGACGGCGGCCATTAATCGGTAATTACGGTAAGTTTGGTGGTCAAGGTTAATAATATGTTGGAATAGCGATGAGTCTTTGCAAACCGTCCTTATTAATTCCTCCCTTGAGTCTATTTAAACTTTATTACAATAACTACTTTGGAATAATAACTTCTAACTAGAATACATTCCGAACAACTCAAATCGAGCAAAGCCTTTATACAACGTGTTCCGCCATATTTGCGAATAACTTGCTCTATCGGTAAAGCAAATTTATCGGTGAATAAGATAATAAGCAATTGTAAAAAAATTCATAATCAATTCATAATATTAATTCCTTAATTGTAAATATCAAATTGTATTTATAATAGAGATATAATTTTGCGGTTTGCTTCCTAATTTTCTTATTATTTCTTATCAACTTTTCCCAGAAAGAGGTTAGATTTAATAATCCTTCCCAATTTTACTTTTAATCGAATGAAATTAATTTCTCCAAAAATTGCCTCGCTTAATTTTTACACTTGTCCGTTATATGAATAATTCATTTAATGCAGAAAATAAATAACTGTATTAAGTCGATAATTCTAATAATAAGTTGTCGAAATACAATTAATATAACATCGTAATATAACTTGATTGCTTAATTTTTTCTTTCGCCTCGCGCGAAACGTGAAAGAAAAAGAGAAAGAGATAAAAAAAAATGCGAAACCGGTATCCGTGAAAAAAACTTGTTTCTTATCTCATCGGGTGTAACGCGTAGCTGTCGAAAACACTTTTAACTACGAAATGATCATTGTGTCCTGTAAGTGTCCTTGATACTCGTGGTGGTAAAATGAAAATTCAGCACGCGAGTGCAAAAGCAGGGAAAAACTTGTTATCAAAACTGTGTCAATCAGAAGCGATAAACTTTTATAACGAATTACGAGCGATTACAAGTATAACGGGTTGGGCACGCACGAGCAATCTCTTGCTTGAATTATGTTGTTAATGAAGGACTGTTGAACCAAAGTGACTGGAAGCCGATGATCGAGATAAAACTTCTTGCAGTGCTCGATTAATCATTTATGATAATAAACGCGAATAATAAATCGAAATAAAAATGCGAAGATATATGATTATGAAAATGAATTTTACGAAACGATTTGACGAAAATATGGTATTAAATCGAGAATAAATTGTACGCCTTTCATTCCTCTATATATAATTTAAATTTTGTTTGTGTCGTGACAGATAAAAATTATATTGCTTGTTTAATATGTTTATAATCTGAGATCAACGAACTAATAATGATTATTAAAATCATTATTTTAATTCCAATATAACGGGATACTTTAAATAGAAAGTAACAATACATGATAAGTAAAATAAAATTCAAAAAATAATGAAAGATAGCTCGACTTGCACTGCACCGAGTAAAATTGAAATACGTTACGTTAATAATCATTTCGTTAAATACTTCATCGATTATTATCGGTTTTGCTTACGTAAAATTAAACTGTTTACTTGACTCGATAAATATGAAGCTCATCTATTGATTGTTTTTTTTTTTTTATCATTTTTTTTCATCGTTTTGATATCTAATTTCTACATACAATTATAACAAGTTAGTTAGCTTTATGCAAGATTGCCCCTTGACACGAGAATTCGAATTTCGGAAGAGATCGGGAAACTTCGGCCAGAGTCGGGTCCGCTTGATACCGAATCTTCCCGACTCGACCCGAAGCCGTAATGCGGTACGAAATACAAACAATTTTCTACATCATACCATACCGTATCTATCCGCAATAATAACTTTCAAATCCCATAACGTTATAAAAAATGAATTATAAGTATACAACCAACTATAAGTAAATAAAAGGAAAATGATCAAAACTCACCTGTCCATAATTGTCGAATCCGTATTTGGCAGCGATCTCCGCGGCAGCGTCCGGTCCATCTGGCACGTGGACTGCGAACTGATTGGTGAAGATCGGCGTTGATCGCGGCCGTGGCCCAGGTTCCGACTTTACCAACAGAGCACCGATCAACATCACTAGTAACACGCACAACGAATCCGCTTGAACGATCATCTCGTCGATTTCCAAACGGACGAGATACTATCTTCCAAAATATCGTTACGCGTAATTTTTCCACCCGTTCAATCCGAGATTCACGACCGAAACGAATTTTCAAACGTCGTAGACGTGGTACGACGGGGAAAACACGAAATCGAAGGTTAATGTTCCCGTGAAAACCGGCGGGAATCGCGAATCTTCATCTAATTTCCGTGTACCATCGTAAACGTTACGACGCATCCGAACGACACGAAGGAGGAGGAGTGAAAAGAGAATAAGACGATTGATGAGGGAGATACGGTGACGAGATCGCTCGCGATACGCGACACGACACTCGCGGAAACGATTTCACGATCTCTTTTGCGATCAGCTGGAGAAGGGGAATCTTGTCTGCAACAGAAAAAGAGGAAAGAAAATTACGACGATTGGATTGAAAGAAAGAAAAAGAAAAAAAATTGTTGACTGGTCGAATATAATTCCGGTCACGATGCCGGAAGGATATCACTAAGATCTTTGCGGTGTGGTGATATTAATTATCGCGGAGAGAATTTTTCACGCTCTCTGGACACGCATTCTGGAATTTATTTCGATTTCGCCGCGGCGGTCACGTATTCGTTCTTTTTAATCTCTCGCTCTATTGTACTTTTTTCTTTTCTTTTCCATTATACGTACGGTGTTATATATTTCGCAAGAGAGATAAAATTAACATGTAAAAATGTTAATTTGTAGTTTATTAAGTTTTTAAATTAAATATACGTTAAAGTGAAAGATGGAACTTGCTATATAATGTGGCACAAAATAATGATATTTAAACGTTGATAAAAATGAAACGATCCTATTTAAACCAGATAAATTTACACGCTTTCCAAAAAGGTGCAAGATTTCGTTCTATGAATAAACTTTTTAAATTAATCCCTGATTATTTCCAACGAAGACTTATGATATATCCCGCGTCGACTTATAACATCTTTCCGAGAATGAAAATGAAAAATCAATGACGTTAGAGAATCGTTATATTCTCGAAAATACAATTTATCAACACAAGTCAAAGACCTGAAAGAGAGAGAAATAATAAATTCAGGTCGAATTAAAATCAATAACGTGGAATCCTTTATATTTTTTGCACGTATTTGTCACGAAAGGAAAGCAACAAAGAAAAAACAAAGAGGAAAACTCGAGATAAAACGAAGAGTTGGTTCTTCCCTTTGCCACGTAGGGAGGGCGGGGTGCACGCCTCGAAAGATTTCGAAAACTGTGTTAAAGCGATGAAACTCGCTGGATTCCACGGGCGTCCGTGGAATTGGAATCAAGAGACGCGACGGGTGAGTAATCAGAAACATCGGCAAGTAATCGTGGAATACGGAGAATTGTTCGAAACAAGAGGAGGAAACAATTTCAAGATAAGTGAAAAATGAGCAGGATATCAGAAACGTAGTATGTTTTTGAGAGAAAAACCAGATTTATATACCAGATCGTGATGGAGCTGTGCCCAAAATATTTGTAAATACAATAAATTTATATTACGAAATTTATTTTAATTTAATCTTGAAAATTCGCATAGATGCAATTGTTGACACGCAATGTATACAATATCTATGATGTAACGCGATACGTAAATGATATCGATCAAGATGACACGATCGAGGAGAATAATATGATAAAAACGATCGATAACTTTATATTTTTCAAACGAATGATAATTAATGTAATATTTTCGTTCGAGAAGGTTGAAAAGGGGAGAGGAGGAAAGTGAGGGGAAAAAATTTCCAATTCTCGTTTTGTGTATTGTATATCATTCTAATTTTCAAAAAAAAAAAAAAAAAGAAGGAAGCAGACAATATTTTTAGGGAATCACATTCGCATTACACGAGAAAAAAGAAAAAAAAGGAAAAAATTGGTTTTACACAATCATACAAATATTTGTTATACCGAGCGTACCATTTTTATAAATATTGCACGATCCACGCACGTCCAATGGTATTGAAAAATGCCGCACATCCGAACGCCATTTTTTATTTACAGTAAAAAACATTGCACAGAGACATGTGAAATGAAATCCTGTTACAGGGGCCAAAACTCAAGTCAAATTTTAAATTTTTCACTTGTAAATACCATTCTAACAACTTTGAAACGAAATACCAATTTTCATTCTAAAACTAACTGCGCATTATTAATAAATTTAATATATATATATATATACATTTTGCAATATATTCTTCTCAGGATTAATTGATTTTCACAAAGAAAAATAAAATTATCGAGATATTAAAAAATTCTACGAATCTAAGAATTATTCGACTTTAGCCAAAAAAAAAACACACATCGAAGATACGTCGTTGCAACTCGATCAAAACATCGGATTCCACAAGAATCCTTACGGAGAGCCCTTGATAAATCCTTAATATATAACTACTTGGTATCGAAGAAGCGCGCACGTACGTAGAGTGGAATCGTATCGTGGTCGAACACAAGAATTTTCGACGAAGCAACAAATCGAAATAAATGGCGAAGAGAAGGAGGAGGAGAAGGAAAGGAAAACGGTTGGTGATCTAATTTTGATCGCGAGATGCACGTGTGTGGGAGAGGGGGGAAGGGAGGAAGATAGAGAGAAAAGGAAAACAAACTCGCGAAAGTCGAAACGAGCGATGGTTGGTTACAGGTGAGAAGGAGAGGTTGTCGATAAGACAGAAAGGAGGGAAAGTTAACCGGCGTTTTTTGCTCGCCAAGTTACCGTTAGACGTAATAAAGTTTAACGAGGAACAGTCGAAACGAAGGATACGCTTTTTCGTTTCTGTTTTTTCTCAACGATATTGGCAAATGCATTGGAGAGTTAAACTAATATAAAATCGACTGTTCCAAGGGCAGGTGTTCGAGAGAGAGAGAGAGGAGGTATTGCTCTACAATGTATTCGTCGTTTACGAAGGAC